CGCCGTCCCTCGCCGCCCGGAGCTCCTCCGCCGCCCTCGCGCCCCGGATCCGGCTCCTTCTCCTCTCCTCACTCCGGCGTCCTCGACAAGCTCCGGCCAACTACAGTGCATCTCCGGTGAACCTCGGGAAGCGTGCCGCCGGATCTCAGATCTAGATCTGTTTCGGGTTGACTTTCTCCAGAAACCCTAGTTCATGTTGCCCTGTTCATCGTGCTATAACTTTGCGTCCGTAGCTCCGTTTTGGGCATATAGCATATCAAATTGTTCGTCTCAGAGAGCACATCATTTCATTCCATTGCATCATTTTCATTTGAGTTCATCTTGATGCCCGAAATGCTGTTAGAAGAGGGCTACTTGAGATAATTGTCAGATCTGCTGCTCCATTTAGATATTTGTCATTTTTGCCATGATTATTGTGTGCATGATATGCCCATGAGCTCTACATATGTTTTGTTAAGGGTTTTGCCATCTTTCTAGAGGTGCAACCCATGTATTTTTGTGATGTGTGTGGTGACTAGTACAAGCTTACAAAGTGAGGCACTTGGTAATGCTGATTTCAGGGACTTAGCATTTCCACTAAGTCCTTGAGCTGTTTATCTCATATGGCCTTATGTTCATGTTGTTTCCTAGTGATCCGTGCCTCTTTTAAGGATGATCAGTAAGGATGTTTTGTTAATCTTGTAGTGATCCATCCATCCATGTCTTTTTTGCAATTATGGAGCACCTAGCTTGAGTCAATCGAGCTCTACTTTTGCTACTTCGTGAATCTGGGCAGATTGTCTACTTGTTAGCGATTTTGCCGAGGATGTTGTAGTTGATCTGTGCATTCTATGCTATTGTTCTTGCCATTTCTAGCTTGCATTTTGTTTATTCTTGATGGGTGTATGCTTAGTTTGTCATAACTTGCTCTGTAGTGAGTGCATCGAGCTCGTAAACGTGCCTACTTGATATCTGTTTCAGCATGCTCCAGTTTTCACCAAGTTTGTGATCTGATTATGTTTTTGCCATGTTCACATGCTTGCAATTGTATTTTCTGATCCCTTTTGGCTCAAGGTCACTAAGGGACTTTTGTTAAGCTCTTTGAGTAGCTCCATGCCATGCTTTACTTTGCCATGTTCAGATCCTGTAGCATATAGTTTTCATGCTCCGAAGAGTGCTACCTGATCTGAAATCCCAGACAAGTGTTAATTTCACTAAGTCTGAGATCTGTTTTCCATATGCATTTCTGCCATGCTTGTTTGAACCTGTTAATGGATGAATTGGCCGTAGCTCAGTGCTAGACTTTTGTTAAGCACCTTGAATGCATCCCTACCATGTATTTTGATGCCATGTTTGAATGCATTAGCATGTTCATCTCATTGCATTTAGATGGCTACTTGCTGTAAATCGCAGACCGGTGTCATTTTTGAATCGCTTGCCATTTCCAAACCGTAACTCTGATTCCGGCGTTCTTTATATCGTTTTCAAGCGATTTCATCTCATATTTCCAGTGGCACACTTGGATTTCCAAGTTGAGGCCAGGTTCATGCATTCCTTGTCACATCTTGCATATGCATCCCGCATCGCATCCCGCATAGCATATCATCTTTGCATCATATTGTTTGATCCTTGCACGTGGTTGATTGTGTTCCATTTGCTTGTTTGTCTTGTTTGGGTAGATCCGGGAGTTGGGTTTGCTAACGAGGAGCCCGTTGAGTTTGCTTTCGAGGATCCAGTCAACTCTGACAACTTTGCAGGCAAGATGATCATACCCTCGAAATCACTACTATCTTTGCTTTGCTAGATGCTCGCTCTTTTGCTATGCCAATGCTATGATGCCTACCATTTGCTTTCAAGCTTCCCAAATTTCCATGTCAAACCTCTAACCCACCATGTCCTAGCAAACCGTTGATTGGCTATGTTACCGCTTTGCTCAGCCCCTCTTATAGCGTTGCTAGTTGCAGGTGAAGATTGGAGGCCGTTCCTTATTGGAACATTATTTACTTGTTGGGCTACCATCATATTGCCATGTTATCTTAAT